CACTTTAACTTAAACACACGCTATAATTCATAATGATTTACACACTTTACTTACGGCTTGACTAGATTATCCCCCGTTATCAATTTATCTCCCGGCTTATATACTAAAAATAGAGGGCGTCCAGCAAACGCTGGGACGTTCGTGAGTTTTCCCGATCCTTCTAGAATCTCATCACGTGTTACCAGCGTCACGTGACTTCCACTGTCGTAACAGTATTTTCGAATAGTCGGGAATTCGAATGAACTAAATATAAAGACGCATGCCTATGCTTTGACAAGCCACTATATTATCATTTACAAATTGTGTGAACAGCTTACACAATATGATGATGTAATAACTCAAATAATTTCGAATTTCGCCCTTCCGTAATTAGAATTAATAGATTATTTTTGAAGCTCGCGTGTTCGCGTTTCTGTATGAACTTCTTGGAAAGTATACTATTAAAACAGGCAATATAGAAGCATTCTACAAACCATTGGTTGAAGCATGTAACCTGTGGACTTGTGGGATATCTTGTGTTTTACCAGCGTGTATAAGTTGGGTACTTCCAGAGTTATTTATTTTGCTCTTTCTTTTGGTTTTCATCTCTTGTTTTGTAGCTTCGACCCTAGCAGCTAGATAATAGTCATACAAAAGTCCAGCCCAGTTTTGGTAACATAAAACCGTGCTGTCACTAGAGAAATTTATTTTCAAAAGCACATCTGTGTTAATTTGTTTTCGTCTACTGTTCTTGTTCAATTTATTTTCCGCTGAACACTCCTGAACCTGCGTTCAACAATAGTGAGCCTGAATATCACAAAGGGTCTGAAATATTCATCGCGTGAGCCATGTGATGTGTCTGAAGTAATATAATACACCAAACCATTTAATATCACTTTTAACTTGAAGTATATTAAACACTACCGTGACTGTATTACAAATAAACAAGTTGCGATTTTTTTAATATTGTTGCGGACGAATACATAAGTTGTGCATAAATTATTGTGATATGTTAAATTGTTAAAATCTAGTGAGATATTGATTATGCAGTAAAGTCCTATTTATATAGCCATGGTTATCTAGTCTCGTAATGAGTATTGGAACTATTGTATTAAAAAACATGTGATATGCTAGGCTTTGGTAATCAACCAACATTTTATTCTCCTTTCTTATACAATCTACTGACAGGCTTTATGTGACCTACTGACAACATCTGATGAGTAAGACTTTGTAATCTTCTAACATATTTTATTCTCAATAATAGTGTTATCTAGTGACAGACTTTATTTTCAGTTCTATTATAATTTACTGACAAACTTTATTCTCAGCTCTATTGTAACCTATTGATGATATCAAATTAATAAGGTTTTTGCAATCCATTGATTGATTGTTTGTTTTGACCGTCACGTTATAATGTCCCCAAGGCTGAAAAGCCAAACATGTTCGTGAAAGGGATTCCAACCGTGACCCTCAGATTACGAGTCGAACGCCCTAACCACCAGACCATGCCACGCCTCTAATCCACTAATACCTTTTATTTTCAAATTTCAGAAAAAAAATAACGATTTTGTAATACCGGGCTGTACGTGTTTTTCACTTCTTTTAGTTTAAAGTCAAATTCGTTAAATTTCCATGTTGTTTAAAGCAGTTTCTAAAACTGGATCATGGTACTGATCTTAATTTTTCCCTAGGACTAATTGGGTTAAGTGGAGATTAGGAACATTCTTGTCAAATTCTCTTTTAAATTAGCTTTTTAATTAGCACACCGAGCTATTCTTTTCGGCAAATTAGGACTAATTGGGTCAAGTGGAGATTAGGCACCTTCTTGTCAGATTCTCTTTTAAATTAGCTTTTTAATCAGACACATAGCTATTCTTGTCGGCGAATTAGATAGTAGTTGCAGGTAGACTTTCCCGTTGGCTAACTGATCTATTAGCCACAAGTCATTGTTTTGAAACAGTGTGGGGCCTGAACGTACAGGATTTTTCTAGATTTTACGCAGATTATCAAGTAGTTATGCATATGTTTTACACACATTTTAGCAGACTTTCACATTTCGTAGCTAGCGACGTCTCTGGTCAAAGATTACAAAATGGATTTTTAAATAGAACCGTGCTTGTTCAAACGTGTTATGCTTTATAACAAAATTGGCTTGCTAGTCAAAGTAATAAATTCAATATATAGTATTATAAAATGTTTAAATGATAATAATTGTTAAAAATATATACAGTAATAAACTTGCATTAAAAATACAACAATTTTACAAGGGCAAGGCGTTATATCTGTTAATTGAAGAGAGGTAGGGGGGGGGGGGTTGAATCGGAAATCATTCCTTAAATTTTCTTTTAAAAAATTCAGCACTTATATATTTATAAATTTCAAAAACTAGTAAAAGATATTTTTTTCTCAGTTCTATTTCAACCTACTAATTAATATGTTTTATGCTTAGGAATATTGTAATTTCTTGTTATATTTTATGCTTAAGTATATGTTAATTTACTAAGAACTAATATATAACAGTATTGGCTAAAGGGTTAGACCCCGGGACCCTCAGATCGCGAGTCGAGTGCCCTAACCACCAGGCCATTCAAAACCTGCCTAATAGTAAAACGAGAAAAGAATGTCTTTTCCATTAATTTTATTCTAAACTGTTAACCATAATATTTTCAGTTACAATTATATTATGTCACTTTCCAGTGACTCCAACGTTAATTTTATACGGGTTTATTAAATATCAAAATTACGGGCCTGTTATGACCTAATGGTTATCATACCGGAGTTCCCAAGGCTAGACGCCCGAAATGGCGCTGAACAAGCTCCGCATCTTGAACTATGCAGCCATTATAACTGTCACTAGTAAGTCCTTTTTTTTTTTCTGTTTTTTCTGATCGACAGTTCTAAATTGGGGATGGCTATGTCTGAACTTTTATGTTTCTAACCTGGCGATTTAGCCTAGCTGTTACGTGCTAGAGGTAATGCATGTTCGACATCTGGTGTCTCTAATGTATTTTAATCAACTGAAATATAATGTGTCTGGATTATCGCTGTACACGGAAATATTAAATAATTTAGAAATATATCGACAAAAGGTGATATATTTGAGACATCTAATTCATTAATATATTATGCAATATACTGACAATACCAAATGGATAT